ACTTTTTGCTCTCTTCATGTATGATATTCTTGATGTCATCCCACAACTCTTCTGGTCTTCGGTCTTTAGTGTTTAATTCATCAAATCTGTTCTTCAGATTTTAATGAAACAATTCCTAAAAACAATTAAGCTTCAGGGAGTAATGCAGAATCCCAGTGAATGCTAAAAGAGAATAGATTGTTAAACTTCATGGAGAATTAAGTCTTTGATATCCTACGAAGGAATTCTTGATTAGTCAGTTAAACTGTAATGGATTTTTTACAAAACAGTCCTTTACCTAAAAATAATCTGAATGTTCAAGATTAGCATTATAATTTGATTGTATTAGAAAAAATTCATTATAAACAAGTGTCTAATAGGGCAGATTTATGGTATGTAAAATATATTAAAATGTTTACCTTGGAATTAAGTTTTTTATCAAACCCCATTTTGTTTTTAGGCCCTTTGAACGGACTGTTACCATGCACAAGGATAGTACTGGACATGTCGGTTTTATCTTTAAAAATGGAAAAATAACATCCATAGTGAAAGATAGTTCTGCAGCCAGAAATGGTCTTCTCACTGAACATATCATCTGTGAGGTCAATGGACAGAATATCATTGGATTAAAGGTAATAAACAGAAATAACGACTGCTCTTCTTCTGCCAGTTTTCTTTTAGCAAATAATGCCTTTTCCTTCCTTGGTGACGTTTTTGGCTGTGGCCACTGTAGTTATGTGGGAATTACTGTTTGTATAACCAGGGAGGCTCTGTGTATAAATTACTGTTTGTGTAACAAAGATCTCTGAAATCTCACATCTCGAGGCATTGGAGATTTTGAAGACATTATGAACAACTGGTTGACTTGTAACAGTCCAAGAATGTAAGAAATAAGTCATACTTTCAGGGATTATCAGTAATTTGTTTTAAAGTCTCTCTTACCCTACCCCAAATTCATAAAGAGGACTCTCTTCTGGTCCAAAGTTTTAAATTAAGACCTGCTCATTTCATAAACTTTATAATGCAGTTAATAGAGCAAATATGATAATACTAAGGGCATATTTTAACCTTACAAGGGGAAATAAACTTAAGTAATGAAAACGTGATTTTGTTTTTGGCTAACATTCAACTAATAAATTAGCATTTTTTTCCCCATGTATAAAATGAACTGTTTTAACCAATAATATTAAACTTGGTAAAGTAGGGAAAAAAATTAGATATAGCAATCTCCAAGATTTAAATATTATCAGAACAAAGGGTATGTGTAGCACATTAGTACAGCTTTCTTTTTTTAATTTACATTGTTTTCAATAGGACTCTCAAATTGCAGACATACTGTCAACATCTGGGACTGTAGTTACTATTACAATCATGCCTGCTTTCATCTTTGAGCATATTATTAAACGGTAAGTAGACAATTTAACTTATTTATGGCTTGGTGATTTTTGCATTGTGCTTCCAGTTAATTCCCAAACCCTTTAACTCTTTTACCTAAGGAATAAAACTGGTTTATTCAGGTATTTAAAGTAATTTATAATATAAATATGGGTAAGAATGACCACTCACATTTCCTAAGTATGGAATAAAAGTCATCCCACCTTTCCTAAATGCTGACAAAAGGGTAAACGTAAAATTGATGCTGATGCTCATGGTAGTGAATTCTTGTCATGGGAATGTTGTTGTGTTGTTCAGTGGTGCTAGAGTTGGTTCCGACATAACAACCCTGTGCAAGGTTTCTGAGGAGCTTCTGGTGGATTTGAACTCCTGACCTTGCAGTTCAAAGTCATCTTGTGCTTATCCTTTAGCACCACATCAGGATTCCTGAGGAAGTTAAGAGGAACAATTTCTATTATCTTGAGTAGATCAGGAGACAGAAGATAGGGTTGTGTGAGGTGTGGTGCTAGTATGTCCTCAGGAACTGAGGATTGCAAAGCTGAATGAGAATATGTGGGCCTTTCGGAAGTCCAGTATCTTTTAATGGCTTTTCCCATGAACATTTGAAGCCTTCTTGTAGAACAGAGGTAGTACGGTTATCTTCTTTAGAGCTTTTCAATCTTGGCTTTAGTTGTAGCTGGTTCTGTCACGTCAATATGGCATCCTACTCTATATGTCTGTATACACACACACACATATAAGAGGGTGACTCAAAATTATCTGCACTCCAGATATATTAAAATGTCTATATATGTCCACGACTGATGACATTAAGCATGCATGTGAAATCATTCTTGTCGAATAGATGAATGAGACAGTGGGTTATGTGGCAAATTGTTTACAAATCAGCCATGGCTTTACCTATGAAATAACCCATGACAGACTTGGATTTCAAAAAGTTTGTGTGAGATGAATCAAGCATAAAAGAAGCGTTTGGGCATCTGCAAACAAAATTTGAAGACTGATACTTAAAGGAAAGTAAGTTTCCTTAAAAAAATCATTATCGGTAATGCAACGTGGATTTATCACTACAAGCCTGGCAGTAACGGACAGAATATTGAATGGAAGCATCCTCAATTGTTGGCCAAGAAAATGTGCAAAATTGATGCTTATGTAGTTTCTTGGATTCTCAAGGGCCAGTACTGGAACACTGTCAGGAAAAAGGTTCAACAATCAACAGTGCTTATCATAGTAAGATGCTCACTGAAGCCTCAACTTCAGATTAAACACAAATGACTGCTACCCAAGAGCGTTGTGATCCTGCATGACAATGCATATCCACACATCTCTGTCCACAGTTGACACTCTGCAAAAACTTCATTTTGAGTTGTTAAATAATGCATCCTCCCTATAGTCTTGATCTTGCTCCATTGAACTTTAACCTGTTTGGTTCACTGACTATAGCCCTTTGAGGAAGAACATTCACTTCTAATAAAGTGAAGACAGCGGTGCATTCGTGGCTCACAGCTCAGCCTAAAACATTTTTTACTAGGGGAATACTTGTTGACACATGGACAAAGTGTATTGAAAAGCAAGAAGATTATGTCTAAAAATTATGTATTTGTGTCTTCTAAAAATTAAATTCTACAGCCAGAATGTGGATAATTTTTTATTCACCCTATACTTGTCTCATGTATATATACAGTGTATCTGTTTTGCAAGTGGAAGTGAGATAACCCTTGTAGTAACATTTCAGGTAGGTGTTTAGTTTGCTTTGATTTCAAGGTAATAAGAAGCTAGCTACTCATAAACACACAACAATTACTGTCAGGACTAATCATTCTAGAGTTTTCCTTTCATAAAATAGGGTTCCCCTTCCCAACTCATCTTAGCCTTGTGTAGTGATTCCCTTTCCTTCCTTTCCCTTCTCTAACCCTTTACTTTTCCCCTCCAGCTCTTTTATAGTCATCACCAGCTTTAATATAAAAGGGCTTTTTTTGTATCATATCCATCTTTTCTAGCCAAGATACAAGAACAGGCCTGTATGTGTCACTGGTACAGCTTTTCACACTAGATAATTGCAAACAGCTAGGTTACCCAAGACGTAGATTTGAGCTTCTTGGACTAACATATCATGTTTAGGCAAAAACACAAACAAGTATGTCATGAAAACTTACTCTCTTCTAGGATGGCACCAAGCATTGTGAAAAGCCTGATGGATCATACCATTCCTGAGGTTTAAAAGCTGAATCTCCTAATAGAGACGTAGCTGAACTGCTCC